TATTGAATTTATACTAAAATGCAGTTTTACCTTGCTAAGAGTTTAAAATTTTAGGCTACACAAACGTAAATTTTTCAAACTATAAAATATCAAAATTAAATAAATCATGCCCAATTAAAGGACACAGAACTATTGTTTGCCCAAAAATATAATATTAATCTTTTTACCTCTTTTCTTTATGAATCACAACATTTACCACTCATACTTAATATCGGCCCTAAAATGAAAACATTCATAGTGTAGTTTTATTTCCCCTAGGACATTCATTCATGGTATGTGGTAAGAGTTTTGCTGAGAAGATAATCATCTGTTGGAATCTGGACAAAGTTTAAATTTATGTTCCTCAAAATTTCATATCAATATATAAAAATCCTGAAAGTAATCTCATTGCAAACATATATAGCTAACAAGTATGCATACAAACTGGAAGTTTTATTTCATGATGGTAGTAAAATAGTAATCTTTACATTAGTAATTGATGATAATATCATGAAAATGACTGCTAACTTTTCCTCGTCATTATTCAAAGCTCATCTTTAGGAGGTGATTGGTGTCTTCTTGGGTTAGAGGAGGATTTTTTGATAGGATAAGAAGCTTCCATTGCTATGCGACAAAGTCTTTCTTTCTCAAACACAGCCCTTTGTATTTTGATGTAACCTTGTTCTCCCCATTCAGGTCCCTAAGTATTCTTAACAATCCAGTATTTGGTTCCATCTATAGTTGTTCCATAGCCCATAATAGCTACCCCATGATTCAGTTGCTTCCTGCAATCTCCAGTAAACACTCCCTGTCATCAAAGTAAATTTTTCAAACTCATCATTTCTATCTTCTTTTTGGCATCATGGTCAGGGAAAATGACGTTTTAAGAACATTAATTACAGTTAAAGACCCTAGAATTATGAAATTTCAAAAAAAGACCACATGGTCCTTAGTTGGGATTAAAATATTTCTAATTGAATTTTTCCATTACTCATCTTCACATTTTCAATTGTCATCTTTAGCATTTATCAATACATAGCTTTTTATTCTTTTATTAATCACTTTAAATGTTTTCAGTACTCATCTTACATGCTTGGCCCAAAAAAAAAAACTCATCTTACATAGTTCCAGTGTTGAAAAGAATTAAAAATGTGTTTTCCAGTGCTGAACATGAAAGATGAATATTGAAAACAACAAATATGGTTATTGACAAAATTGAATATTGAAAACACTAAAGATAAGTACTGAAAAAGTTAACTGAGAAACTTTTTAATTCTAGTTAAGGACTATGGTCTTTTTTTGGAATTTCAAAATTTCAGTACCCTTAATTATAAATAATATTTTTTAAATGTCCTCAAATGTTAATCTCCCTTAAAAATATTATCTTTTAATTGAAGAAACTAGGTTTTGATGTTTGGTTGGTTGCTGTACTTGTGCAACTGTGAGAAGATAGATCGAAGTTTACCTCAGAGTAAATTGGAAATCAGATCCTCCAGCATCTATGGCTACTGATACAGGTTGGTTTGCAGTAGCTTTGAGCAATGAGTGCTCATCGTTAAGAGGGACATTCTTATGACCATCAATCGACACTGATGGTTGCTTCTCATAAAATGTTCATTGGGACAGTCAATTACATTAAAGTTCAGATAAAATTAATGACAACAATATAGTATCTTATATGTCACCTTTGATACATTGCAAGTTCCATTTGTTGCTTTATAGGGGTAATTGCTTTCTGTTGTTAGGCCTCCTATTTTCTTAATGAACTAATAAGCGTATTCCATTAGCCCTCTATTGTATCCTTCATTTTGTTTTGTGTCACAGTCCACCAACTCTTGCTCAGACAATGACACTAATTTCTTTGTTTTGATCTGATTAATACCTTCCACAGCTGCAACAGTTGAAAATGCCCAACAACTACCTACAAAAACATTAGTGGACATAATGTAAGATGTCCATATATCATACTAAGAACCACTGTTGGGAGAATGAATGAAATAAAACAGACAAGTAATTAATGGGAGTTATGTCTAGTGAAAGAAACCAGTCTTTTACAACGTGACGAGCAAGGGTTTGAATCTTTATTAAGAAAGATATTCACATTTAGTATTTGACCGTACCTCAAATATAACACTCATGAGCAATAAAAAAAAGGTAAGTATATATAGCTGTGGTTTAGACTTTAGTGCATATTTTCTACCTGCCAAATTCTTGCCTCAATATACTAATTAAAGATGAGCATACTAAAGGTCAATTTTCTTAAAGCATTTTTATCATTGTTACTCTTGACCCAAAAATGGTTTTCAAGCTCACTAGGTGAGTAGGTGTTGAGTGTGCTAAACGATCGTATAAGTTTTAGTATACAAGGCGTGCTTGAGACTCAAAACAATCTCACTTGTATTTTGACTTCTATCAAACCCAAAAAAATATAATTATATTTATACATTTGTTTATGGTTGAATTGGCTTATCACATTGGCCTTGATCCTTTACAGCAGTGACAGCACCTTTCTTCCTCCAATCAACAGAAGAAGGAACTCTATCAACTTTCTCATACATGAAGGTTCCATTCCCACGTCGCGTGCCACGGAACATTCTATGATGGTTGACTTTCCAGGAAGCATATGTTTGCTGGAACTCATGGCTGGTCATGTCGGTGAACTTGTTCAACTTGAGCTTGTATGGCTTGTCCATCTTGTTTGTGTTATGAATATGGATTATGTTGGCTTTGAACACATTGAAGCGCTTGTGTTTCTCACTTAGGCTTCGAGAAACAGTATGATGACTCCTCCATCTCTTGTATAAGTCCCACAAGCTTTCCTTGAATTCCAAATCTTTATCATGCAAATCAAAGCTCTCAGCGAACCCGAAAACCAGTGCTAGTAAGATAGCAACACCTAAGAACTTCTTCATTTCCATATTTCTGGTAACTAAATTCAATGAAAGATGAGAAAAAGAGAGAGCTTGGGGATGCTATATATAGGGGAATGAAGGGGTAGGGGAAAAATAAATAATTATATTGAATAATAAATAAAGTTGTTACAGGTTCCTTAGAAGCTTCAACAATCAATGTGTCATTAATGAAGAAAGCATGCATGTGGGTTGCTTATTTGTTTGAAACAAATTATTCAAATAAATATCAGTATTCATCTATATTTACTTTTGGATAAAAAATATCTTTACTATTACTTAGTCTTTGGTTCTCAAAGCATGCATCTAGATGGATTGTCATTTGTTAATTAACTTTCACAATATAATTAGCTTTGGGAGGTTAACGTAATGGAACAGAATTTTGTTAGTGGCAGTTTAATACGTAATGTAAAGCTACGAGTGATTGAAGAAGTTAGGTAGGGCATGAAGATGACGAGCACGGTTACTTGTGGTTATATCCAAGAAGAGTATAATGGCTGGTGTGAGTGAAATATTGTGATAACTAATTCTATCTGTAAACTGTCAACAAACGTGATCGCTTTTTGAGCAAGTTTGGTGAGGATGAACACAACAATACTCAATCCTAACTACGTGAGCATTCAATCCTGTTAGTTTTATTTACTCTCTGTGTTTGGAGCTGCTGCAACTAAAAAGAATGAAAGTGATATCATAAGATGTCATATTTTGAGGTTGGTTCACTTCCGTCTCTTAAGCATGAATTTAATTATGAGTTTTGAGTTCTCATAATTAATTTATGGAAACTCTTGCCAAGTTTTGAACTTGCACTCAATCATATCCCCATATCCTTTCAAGTAATCATTTCACATTTCTTTGGAATATTAATTAAAGGCAAGTTGATATGCTGTCATTAAACTATTGAAAATTTTATAGCTCAGGCAGAGAGAAAAGGAGAGATATGATGAGCCCTACATGATATGTGAGGCCTACCAAAACTCGTCAATCTTCCTCTCTCCTCTTGTATGGTTCACTTCCACAGGAGAGAATATTCTTCGAAAATTTTATCACAGGATAGAAGTTTCATTTTGTAAAAGCAATGAAAAGAAAGAAACAAGGATTCTTCAATTTTCATGTAATCTCATTAAAAGTGATCATTTATTCATACATTTGTAACTTGTTAACATTTGAATTCATGGTGCACTGTTGCTTGAAGCTAAGGGGAAGAGAGACATGATGAGGGAGACACCGGCCACTTCTGCAAGTGACAAAACAGAGTTATAAAGAGTGCTGAATAGGCATACGATTGGCTTTTGATAAGTAGATAAGGTAGGGCATGTTAACTACTCTGGTCATTTTATAAACCAAACGTTACCCCAATTGGATATATCTCCGAATCCAGCCCATCGGTGCACTCACACATGTTCCATACTCTAAAAAAAAAGGGAGTGGAAGATCAAAGTAGTTTTGATGGTAGGTTTAACTTTAACTATTCCATTCTTTATCCGTCACTTTAAGTTCAAAAAGAAAGAAAGTTTAGACTTATAATGTCATTCTTTTTTAAAAAATTAATATTAGTATGGAAGTGGTCTGAAGATTGTTATCACAATTGCAGTGTGAAAAATAAAAAGAAACTATTGCATTGAAATTCAGATTAACCCACCCAGTTAAACTAATAAATTAATAAATCAGTGTCTTGAACATTTCAATAAAGTGTTTTGCCTATGAAATTAGTTTGACCATGATTTTAAATTTTGAATCATTGACTTTGAACCATCAATTTAATAGCTGATTCAGTTTTCAATACTTTTAAAGTAACCTTGCCTAAATTAATATGATAAATATCTTATTATGATTCTTTTTTTTTTTTGGTTGGGATAAATTGATGATGCAATTATATTTGACAGTGTTTTAAGTTTCGAACTCACTTGAAGTCCAGAGTCAGGGAATTGGATATCCGATGTAAAGATGGCAACACCAGGAGCAACAGCTCCTGAGCCCACCCAAAATAATTGGATCAAAGGCCCATTATGAATCGGAATGTGGGCCCGGAAAGGATTTGTGAGGTAGCCCACCACAATAGAAAAACCCATTGCCCCCATGCAGGATCGAACTACAGACCTTCAGTTTACAAGACTGACGCTCTACCACTGAGCTATAGGGGCATTGTTAGCGTAATGATGAGAATTAACAAAGAGAAAATACCGTTCGTACGAAACAAGCCGCCTGATGAATCATCAGCACTTTCATCCTTGAAATTGTTAGCTCTAATAGATTTCGAATTTTCTGTGTGGTATTCAAATTTCTTGAGATGGAGGACGCCACTTTTGACTCTGTAAAGCCCTACAGCATTTCCCTCCATCCTTTCTTCGCTCCATAGTTCTTGCAGCTTTTATTCAGTTATATAATTGTGATAACTAATAATTGACATTTGTCTTGAAATTTGCTACATACCAGAATCTGATTCACGCCATTTTCAAGTCCGTCTGGAGCGAACGGGCTCTTGGTGAGCGATCCTCTTCATATTTACTTTCGTTATTCCTCTTCCTTTCTAGTATAGTTTGTGTCGGTTTTTTTTTTTTTTAATGTTTTGTTTACCCCGAATTTGCAGAGCGGGAAAAAGCTGAATTCAACGATATTTTAGACTCCGAGGTTTTGTTCCCGACTCAGTTTTTCCTTTTCTTTCCATTTTATTTCTACCATATTTTTGATATTGTTTTGATCATAACTTGTTGAGATTTCGGAACCTTGGAACAGTGGAACTGTTTTTGCTGGTATTTCTAACTGTAATGGCCAATTTGTGGTATTACTCGATTGCCTACTCTTCTTTCTCGTTACAACCTACTTCGGTTAAGTGCAAATTGTGTCAATCAATGGAAAAGTCAAATTGACTCCCTTTAGTGCATTCAGGTGACAATTGAAGATTAGGATCTTTTTATTCTGCTGTTATACCACAAGGACCCCGTAATATTTGTATTTTTGGCTTATATGAAGTTGGATGTGTACATATACAATCACTTTTATGGACAATATCAGAGGCACTGCGTGCTTGATTTCAGCGGCACTCTTCAATATTAGTTCATGTGATGCTATCCTTTGCTAGTAGTTTGAGTCAGAAAAAGCTGTTACTGCTGAGTATTTCACCTTGTGATCTGCTTATGAATAATGATCCTGTTCCCTTACTTTGGATGGACATTCAATATCTTTCCATGGATAGCAGCAATGCAGCATGATCCTAAGCAAGACCAACATTGTAGTTTCACATTATATCACCGGTCTTCTTTGTTTACAGATTCTTTTCCTTGACTGTTATTTCATGTGTTGATGTTCTGCAACTAAATTTTACTACTGCAGGCAGGAGCTGGATCATCCAGGAAGAATAGGCCAGCATCTGGTATTTCTCGCATTGTATCACTTTCTTTGCATATTTTTTATTTGGTAGAGCCTGTGTAATCATGTCACACTGGCGTTGCCAAGGTTTTGCAAATTGGACATATTAAGACTTACTTCCTTGACCATATCTTGTGATGCAGCTAATGCAAATGCACTAAAGCTTAGTTGTGAACTTCTCCGGGTTTTTGTCACAGGTTCATCCATCTGAAAGCCTTTGTCCTTTTGAAAGACTTTGAATATATTTATCATATGATTTTGACTGAAATTAGTCTGTAACTCTGTTGATGCAGAAGCTATACAGCGAGCTGCTGCAATTGCAGAATCAGAGGGCAGCAGTCAAATAGAGGCTGCTCATTTGGAGAGTATTCTTCCTCAGTTACTTTTGGATTTTTAAGGCATCTTAAGAGATACTTATGCACAATGTTGTCTGCTTTTGATCATTTATATATAAGGATGCTTGTTGTGTATTTTGTAATTTGTTTTGGAGTGATATTGGATAACATTTGAAGGATTATCAAGTCAATGCTGAGTTTCGTTTATGTTTCAATTTGTGTATAATATCTTTCTCTTGTGTCTCCAAGTAAGCCTTTCAAATTTTTTCCTTCATTATTCGTGGCTTGGCCAGCTTGTCCGGACTTGGATAATTAATAATATATTGCACAAACAACTTGGATTTCTAAGTCCGTCCAGCATGCACTTGTATTTTGTAAAATTATTACTAACTCGGAGCCAGGAATAGCAGCAATGCAGTATCATCCCAAGCAAGACCTACATTCTTGTTCTATATTATATCAGTTATCTTCTTTATATGTACAGCAAGTCTCTTGATTGACTGTTGTTTCATGTATTGATAGTCTGCAACTGAGTTTTACTGCTTCAGGTAGGAGGGGGGATCATCCAGGAAGAATAGGCCGACATTTGGTATTTTTGCATTATATCACTTTATTCACCCTACTTTTTGCGGTTGAGCTTCTTTGATAATGTCACACTAGCGTTTCCATGGCATTACAAATTGGTTATAGCAAGACTTCTCTGTCCATCCCTCATGAGGTAGCCAATGCAAATGCGCTGAAGCTTAGCTGTGAACTTCTCCGAGTTTTTGTCTCAGGTTCATCCATTTGAAAAGAGAAATACCTTTGTGCTTTTGAAAGACTTCAAATGTGATTGACTCTGCATATATTTTGCACTGTATGATTTCGACTGAAACGGCACTGTTGACGTAGAAGCTATACGGTGAGCTGCTGCAATTGCAGAATCAGGGGGCTCCAGTCAAATAGAAGCTGCTCATTTGGAGAGCATTGTTCCTCAGCTTCTTTTGGATTTTATGCCCTCTGAAGATACTTATCTACAATTTTGTCTACTTTCGATCATCTATATATGAGGATGCTGGTTGTGAATTTGTAATTTTATTTAGTAGCGGCATCAAATACCTTTTGGTCTTGGAAGACTGCAAGTCAATGCGAAGTGTAATCATGTCGTTATCAATTCCTTGATGCAATATCATTCTGCTTTCTTACTGTTTGAATGATCTTAAAGTGGTATGAAGACAATGGATTAAAACTATATATATATATATATAAACAATAACAAATTACAGTATTACACCTATGTAGAAAGATGAAAGACTTGAACATTATTGTAGTATTAAACTTTAACATCATTGTTTATTAGCTACGGACTCTACTGCCCTAATGTTAGAAACATTGAGCCCTAGAGAACTTGCACACACAAACATAATCTCCAGCATCACAGGCTAATGATACATGACAAAGACTGAACTTAATACTACAACCAAATCTCAATCCAATACTTGATGAAAACGATCTTGGGTAAGTAATGCTTATCACATTCATCCATCTGTCACCCATTTCTGAGTATTGTCCATAGGTGATGCAATAGGCACTTTTTACCGAACAAAAACTCTATACTGGACACTTCCTTTTACTCCACACAGCAACGATACATGAAGTACTTCTCCATCTGACGGCCGCATTCAGCACATACAACCCTCTCTGGTATGCCTCCCGCAGTCCCAGGAAGGATAAGACGATTACAATGATGAGGAGTGTGAAGTTGCTCCAAGTAATCCTTTAGTGCTTGCAAAAACCCAACACGTCCAACACTTTCCCTCCAAATCTCAAAGTCTCTAAGGCAAGTCAAAGCTGTATCTCCCTTTGCTCTGGCCATTTCAGCAGTGCCTTTGCAGAAAATTGCCCATCCCTTATCACTTCCGTCGAAGCTGAGCACAGTCATGACTTCATTCAAAATTTGATCATCCTCCACTGACTTCCCGTGCTGCAACTTGGAGTACAGCATGCTCTCTAGTCTTGCCCAGAAGAACCAAATGGAGGTGACATTTGGCCAGAAGTAACTGAACTTTCTTGTGCTGAATGTAGTGATCATTTTTTGCATTCTCTCTTTGGCGTTGCTCTTTCCCACATAAACCATCTCAAGTGGTAAATTTGCTGCTTTTGCGACAGTTAATACTGCGGTTGTAAATGTTTGAATCCATTCAAGATCTTCACCTCCATATAGGCATATGAACTTGCCTTCAGCCATCTGGTAGAATGATAACAAAGATTAAAGCTTTTAACATGTTCGAGGAAACAATGGGAGCTATTTACTAATCAAGTTGTTCCTTGATTAGTGGAGAGAAATAAAAGAATAAAATTTGAGTTTAAATTAGATCTGAACAGTTAGATACATCTTATATATAGCTATGTATATGATCTGACAGTTATGAAAAGCATAACCGGAAGAAAATATGAGAATGTTTTTACCCATTCCAGCACAGCAGGATCAATGCCATCAACAAGTAGCTCCAGGCTCCAAATCTCTGACTTCCACAAGCTTTCCTCTTTTTCGTGAGTGAATGGGAAGGCCAAGTTTCCCCATATCCAGATCATGTGTAGCGCATTTGGAGATGACAATCTACCTTGTGGATCTAGAGCCACTACTATAGCTTTCTTTGTGAAATTCCATACTTCTTTGATATACTTAATCACTGCTGGTTCAATGATCATAGGATCACGCACACTGTACCACGTCATTGATGACTGTAAATTCTCAAACTTTTTCTTATTCAGATCATTCCAGGTTGCTCTGTTCACAACTGGAATCCATACCATTTCATAGTGTGTGTCACCCCTAGATCTTGCATCTTTATACAAGTTGTCGAGTATTATAATCTCTTCCAGTGAAAGATCAAGATCTGATATGAGAAGTAACACATGCTTCCTCCTTAGTGCCTCGAGACTAACCTGTTTGTTCAGTAAGTGAACTGTTTTCAGAACTTGAGCTACTTATGCTGGTATTTGCAGAAGATGATATGTTTAAGAACTAACCCTTGTTTTGCTAGAACAATCTATAAGTGGTGGTGGGTCATCCTTGGCGTATATAAGGGCTCTGAGGATTTTCATGTTGTCTAGGTGAGTTGTCTTGAAAAGACCCACCAGAGTATGAAAGGCCTCTATGTGTCTCTTGTCATCTGCATTTGGGATTGGAAAACAAATGTAAATCTAGCTGCCTGATGAAACTCTAAAGCATGTTTGGATTAAGAAGAATGAAGGAGGAGGATATTTTTCATCCCAGCAAAACCTACCTTAATTTTTTTTCTCCCTAAAAGATACTCAAGCTAGAAGAAAAGCATTTGAAACATCTTCATCATTGGCAATTTTCTACATTACTCAAAGGCATTATTAAAAATTTGTATTTGTCCCATTGGTAGTGATATTGATATTAACCATTCGATTAATATTTAAGAACAATGTTCACCTAAACTTGATACAGAAACATTCTAAGTATAGAAAAATTGCCCTGCAGAAAGTTGTTTTGATTAAAACGACAATATGCTGATTAAAACCTCACCTATATATTGTTGGCAGAGTTCCAATTGGTTCCTGAGGTGCTCATAAATACTGCTGACTTTATAAGCCAAGCTTGATAATTCCCATGACTCTGTGGTTTGTGAAATGTACCTGTGAGCATTTTAAAGCATCACTTAGTATTTAAAAGGAGATTGAACCAATTTGAGAGATTTACACAATGATAGGCTTACTCATTTCTCAAGCCTATAAAACTGGTAATCTGTGTGGAACAAGCCACAATGCTTCTGATGGTCCAATAGGTAGCAACAGGAATATGAGCACTGGCAACAGACATAGGAGGAGTGTCCTCTGAAATGTACTCTGATGGAAGTTCCTTGAACTCAATGATGCACCTTGTTACATCCAGAGTTGCCTTCAAGAGCTTATTCACTGCGTCGAATTGGGGTCTCAGAGAGGTGGAATTCTCTGCAAGGTCAGGAAGTTGCTTAAGGAGAGCCACAGATTTGGCAAGTGTGTTTGCAGCACTTTGTTGAGAAACAAGCCAGAATTCCCCAAAGTTAACAGCAAAAGCTGCAAGGGTTAATACAACTTTTGCATGCCATGGATAGCTAGACAAGATGTTCAGTATCACCATTGTTGTTGCATGTGCATCTCCACCTCCTGAGCACTTGCATGTTAACTGCCAATATACATTTATTTTGGGGTCATTTGATACACAGAATAAGAAGCAATGAGATTGAAAAAACCAAAATGAAATTGAGAATGCAATCTAATCTCGCACCCTCTCCTTTGATAAATACTCCTTCCATCTTATTTATAAGGGAGAATTATAATCAGATCCCAAATAAGAAAATTAGTTATTTCTTGAATCCATTTACAAGTCAAACTTTTATATTTATATGTTAAATTTCAGTATTTACAAGTAGACGGTACTTGTAAGTGATTGGTTTTTTTATTTGAGACTTATATGTAATTCTTATTATTTATAAGTCATCTTAACTAATTTTTGTACATTAAGGAAGTTAGTTTAAAATCAAATGATCTTAAAATTATCCAATATTTCCAAAAATACTCTCTATTCTTACTCATCTCTCTTGATCCCTTTCCCTACCATAAATACTCAACAATTTGTATTGTAAGGGTACTATTGGAAAAAAATATTAATTGTTCCATAGATTTTGTAAAGAGCCTTATATAGTTAAAAGTTAAAGGTCATTTTTTCTCCCCAAATTTACCCGAAGGGTTACTAGGAATTTTAAACTCAACTTTGGATTAATTTTATCCCTCAACATTAAAAATTCTCTCTTTCGCTACTTTCATATTAAAAGCACTTAACGTCCGTTAGTCATTAGTGGGTTCCATTATTTTAAAAATATTTTTTATTAGATTTAGGGTTATTTTTGCTTCTCTATTTTTATTTAAAAGGTCAATGGACATCTTCAATTCAAATATTTTATAATAAAAAATATTTAAAAAAATATAATGTAAGGCTCACTAATGGTCAATTAATGATGAAAAGATAAAAGGGTAATAAGACAGTGAATTAAAGTTGAAAAATATAATTAACTCAAAATAGTTTCAAGTAACCTTTCAAGTAAAGTTGAGAGGCAAAAATAACTTTTAATGCTATATTTAAAGTATTTATTTGTAATTAAATTAAGACATGTGGATCCTTTATATATTATTTATTTTATAACAAATTTTTGTTATCAATATTATTATTATATTAAAATTTACTTATTTTAATTTGAATGGATAAAAGTACATTAACTATAAAACCAAGTACCTAAGTCTTGTCCAAAATAAGAGAAGAAACAGTTTCATCTACTTAATATTAAAAAAAAAACGTTGATATTTTAACATTCAATATAAAGATATCATTAGGTCAGAGTAAAAATCTAAACAAAAGCAAATGACTATATCTATATATGCTTGCAGAATATGATCGACCAGATAAAAGAGTAATTGCAAATAGAAAGCAATTAAAGTCAGGACTCTGAAGAAAAGTATATTTAATCGATCTGAGTTTTAGTTATAAAATGCTCGTGTATCTATCTGAGTTTGTGCCTTTTGGTTTAAACCAATGCCAGGACTGTGAAGAAAAGTATATTCTCTGCAAAAGCACAAATAGGAAAAGAAGAAATGCAACATTTAATCACATGGGGGTCAACTTTATCCTTAACGGAAGCAATAAACAGTAATTAGCGTAAAAGTTGAGATGATTTTTCCAGTCAGAAACCTCGCAGGAAATTTTGTGCACGACAAAAGCTAATGAATCAAGCATGTCGAATTCAGCAAAAGCAGCAGCCTTCTCCATGTCGGCTTCCAGTCGTTTTCCCTACAAAATATTCAACCAAAACAGAATTAACTCATAAAAGGCCATTCGATTTTTTCAAAGTATCTGTCATCCACAGAAGGCTCGTGTTGCAGAATGCTCTAGCACTCAAATCCCAGTGCAACCGAATATATAACACTGACCTTAAATCAAAAACAAATGAAGTAAATATAACTAGTATGTGGAAATGAATTTAATTATGAAAACACATGCACGTCCAAATATTATATCCTGCAAAAAGTGTTACATGTGCGCGTGTGTGAGAGAGAGGGAGAGAGAGGGCGTACACGAAGGTCTCCATCCTCAATACTGCTAGCAATGGAGTGAATCAGGATTTCCTCAACGATGTGGATAATGGGCCTGACATCAACTTCACGACCATCAGGTGCATGTGTGACCTGAATTTGCTTCATCATGGCTGTGTCATCGGATGTTGAGAACAACCGACGCTCTCTCTTCTGAGATTGTGGTCGTGGCTTGCTGGCCATGTCTCGACAACCTTAGCTTACTATAACGAAACGATATATCACAAGCACACTACAGGCAGTGTTTGGTATATTATGAGTAAACGTGGTCGTACACATATATAACTATGGGCTTATATAGCGACAGGAGGTGGAATAAAGCCTTACTGAACAAGTATTATACCTTGCTTGCGGCGGAATATAAAACAAAAGCTAAAGTGATTATCATATCATGTTTATAGTATAACGTTACACAGGGACAATGCGTATATAGCTAGCTATAAATGGTGGACCCTCTACACACAGTTTTTTTCCTCAATCGCTTCACTCTGAGGGACAAAAAAGTGTTATCTAGTTCTTATTCAAATTAATGTTAGACAGCTTCTACTTGGAGCTTCATGACATAAGGCTGTCCATGTCAATATGATTACCTCAGCTGTAAAAAAGGAAGGAAGAACTGTGCTGAATCTTTGGCACGAAGGTTTGCATATAGAATGGAGAAACTCATGAACTCAAAACAAAGGCCTAGGTTTAGCTTAGGTTAATTTATGACGGATTAGAAAGAATATGGTGGATATAGGTGTCTCGGCTAGCTGTTCTTTTCAAGTTTATAATTATATTTGTCTAAGGAACAAAGTGCCCAAAGAAACTCTTTATCTTCAATATCTTTATATACTAGTTTAACTACTGGTTGCTTGACACTAAGGATTGTTGGGAAACCTTCCGTGCAGGGGGCGAAAAATGTAATGGAATATAATAGGGAATTATTATTAAATTTTTTTATATTAAATATGCTTAAGGATAACATATTTCATCAAAATAGCTTTGGTTAGATATTTCTTAAGCTTATATATTTATAATTTATCTTTTAATTTTTACATGTGAGACTTCTTTTATATTATAATATTTTTTACATTACTTTTTTTTTTCATTTTTTTTAATTTTCTTTTTCTTTTTGTCTGGGCTTGTACCTTTTTAAAAACCTTCTTCTCAAGTCTATTCAACTTTTTCTCTTCTTTTTTCTTTTTTTTCTCTTGTTTTTTCATCAATCATTTTTTCTTAATTTTTTCTTTTCTGTCCCAAATTGAATGACTCATAATACTATATTAAATTTTTTAGAATTATGATGATAAAACCAGTAATATATTAATAATTTAAGGATCTAGCTACATGTGAGTGCAAATTATATATTTATTCTAATATTGATATTAATTAAAGATATTTTTTTAAAGAAGACAATTTTATTAAAACAAGTGAAAAAGAAAACGACTACGGCATAAAGGCCAGTAGTCATGGAAAACCACAAGCCGGACACAAACTAAGGAAACAACAAAAACGTTTGTAAAGAAGGCAAAAGAAATTACAAGAGAACTTAAACAAACAACAGAGAGAAACGTAACATCCTAGGAGCCGTAGAACAAACTCCAAACCCAAGAAATCTTCAATAGGTGCTTGCAGATAAAGTGAAAATTTGCCGGAACGAAGGCCTTCATGAACCAGCTCCAAAAGCCAGATTCTGTCATCGTTTCTAAGCGCCGCAAGCAACAGAATGAGTTGAAACTCTGTCAACTCAATGAAAAATCTCCCGTAGGATTTGAAATACCGTGGCAAGAAAGGAAAGTCACCGGCCTGAACAAGTCGAAGGTAGCTTGAGCCTATCGCACGAACAAAAGAAACCTGAAAGAAACGAAGACCAGAAACAGGCAGCTCAAGATTAAGGACATTCATGCAGCTGCTAAACGTGAAGGTCCTCATCCTCCTCCAGCAAGGTGCTCTGTTTTTACAGAAAGAAACAGAGCAAGACTGCGCTTGTGTGGAAATGCAGACGATGATGTGCCTGTTTGGATAGGCACTTATAATCAATTACGTGTCCCTAAATCATGATTTTGGTAAAAAGAATCCAAACACCTTTATTTTCTCATAATCTATTTTCCATCCTAAATCGCCGTTTTGTGCTAAGCAGCATGGAGTAGCTTTTGATTTTCGATTATTTCTGTTAGCCTCATTTATTATGTGTCCGAATCTTCATTTCCCAAATATGCCCATGTGTGTGCTCTTAACTTCTCTCTAAACCCACTTAATGCATTTGGCATGTCCTCCTACCATTTGATAATTCCTCTTTAGCGAATGTGTGCATTGCTCTTCCTCCTCCCGTCTCTTGCTATTGTTCCGCCATCAGGCTCTCATTTTTAAGCCTCTTGCAACAATTTGGGCTCTTGATATTATAAGATGATACCAAGACCCCACCTCTTAAATAAAATATGATGTTATAATATTAATTACTAAAATTATAAAGGACTTCTCTATTTTCAATATGATTAGTAAATATAATTTAATTTTGGTAGGGATAGAAAGCACGTGTGAGGAGAGACAAAAGTGGAATTTGGAAGGGATGGAGATTGAAGTATTAATATAATATAATTTAAATTTTTATAATTTAAATATATAAGTTAAATAATATATTTTATTTCTTAAATAAAGTTTAACAGATTTAATAATATTATATAAAAATTTATTAGTAATTTAGTTTAAAAAAGCAATATCCTTTGTGCTAATTTGTACAGTTAAAATTGATTCTGACTAAATCATACAAACATCTTTAATTTTATTAAAAATTAATTTTAGAAAAATAATATTCAAACAAATTGTGTTCTAATACAATCAATTATTTTTATAACTAATTATATTCAACTGAAATTCAAACGGGCTTGATGAAAGAGGCTTCGACAAACCTAAGATCAACAAACTCCAATTGATTTTTAGGAAGCACCGAAGTATGTGTTCAAGCCCTGCGGAAGTAAAAAGCTTGCAGAATGGACCCATTTTCCATTGGAGCTAAATTCGGATGTTCTCAATCATGACAAAAACATTCAAGAAATCATAAAATTCTCGTCCCAAGAAAGTATTTTTGATGCAAAAAGAGCCTTGGCATTAGCCTCCTAAGTGAGATCAAAGACACATAGCTTAAAATATTGAAAACCATCTTATTCGTGTAAAACGTGGCTCCAACCAACATTGAGAACCAACTCATAAGCTCCTCTATGTAAACATTGTAGAAGTAGAAGACAAAATGGAAGTAGAGTCTGATATAGGGTTAAGTGGGTCATAAGGTGAGAAGTGAGAATGCAATGGATCAAAGGATGATGCTAAAATGATGCCAAGATCACTTGCTGACTTTATTATTAATGTAAAACTCTGAGTCTCCTAGAGACTTGTATATGGCAACTGAGGGTAAGGAAAGATGAACCAGCTGTTAATAATCCAAAGAAATTATCTTGGCAACTTGACAATTGGAACTTATCATCCGTAAAACCCTCATCCTTCAACTGTAATTTGTCCTCTTGTTAGTAGAAAAATCATAATTAGTAAATGCTATCTGAGAGCTATCATTTGACCCGAAGGCTGAAAAATACAAGCGAATTCGCTTGTAACACCTAGAAGCAAAGTCATTTGACACGTTAGTGTTATTTTTTCATTGTAATGTTGAGCTTTATCTTTATGAATAATAATCTGTATACATGCACCTTGAGAGCTGTGATACCATATATTTGAGGATTGCATCAACTTTGATGTACCTCAGCTGTAGGCTCGCCGGAGCGTTAATGTCAAAACTATTTTTCTCGCTTAGAGAAAAATAAATGATGAATCTTAATAATTTAGTTAAACCCAATTAAAGATGACCTGATTGAAAGGAGGGACCATGAAAGCTTCTTATGGTTTGAAGTCTAAGATAACATCTGGACTAACTCGTGAGTCTGAGCATGCAAACACTAGAAACTACCACCACATACAAACCACATAAAATTAGATCAAAACAATAGGAAACAAATAATAATGATAACGAACATATATGAAGACTGCATTAGCAGTTAGTCATCACTGGGTCTTTGGCTCGGGCGAGTTTCTTGAACAGTTTTGGGTTCTTGTTGCCATTTAATTATACACACACAAATGAGTTAGCCAGAAGAGAAACTGTATACGGTGAGATTTAAATAGTGATTAAGATGGGTTAATTTACTCGAATATGGTGAACTTGAATTGGTGAAGCCCATGATGATCCTCTGAACAGTTGGATTGATTGGATTTAGATGGATTCCCTATCGTTCAACTATTAACTTGTCGATCTTTTCGACTGCCACATCCTCCAATTCTTCCTTTTCTCTAAAGCATGCATATACCTCGTTATTATCATCATTATAAGCTCTAGCAATGAATATAGTTGTAAAGTTTATTTAAGTAGTGTATGTGTGTATCTATTACTATTATTTTTTCACTCTATATGTTAAGCATAGATTAATCATATAGAAGGTATATTGTTTTTATGTTTGTGTATGTATCTATTACTACTTGATAACTTTATTGAGCTCTTTGATGGCCAACTCGAGGAATAATTTCTTAAGGGCTATTTGGTTTGGTTGCATTTCAAATTCAAAAAGCAAAATTTCACTCTCAAAAAGTTAAAAGTTGTTTGGGTAAACTATTTTACTAGAAAGCACATCTTGAAAGTATATTTGAATAGTAACTGCAAGTGGACTTGAGAAACGTAACTATTTAAAGCTTTTAAAAAGTAGATTTAAAAAATAAGATGTTATTTGACCATACTACCCTAAGTTTAATCTCTTATTTTTTTATTTAAAAAATAGTTAATTCATTAAAAATATAATTATCATTTCAATAATAATAATTAGGTATCAAGTTTTTAACATTATAAATTGAATAATTGATCATGTTAATTTTTAGCATTAATGTATAATAAAAATTAAAAATTAAAAAAGTACAAATAACTAGAGATCAAGTTTTTGGCATTATAGACCAAATTTTATGTTATTTAAAATCTTCATCATATTTTTTAAATATTTTAAATATATTATATTTGTCTAATAAAAATTATAAATTATCATAAATCAATGTTCTTTTTTATAATTATACATTTAAAAGCATATTTTACTATCATAATCTAAACAACTTTTATTGTATCAAACTAATTTTTAAAAAAATATATCCAAATACAAATTTTGTTACAACAATTAACTTTCACAAAACTGATTTTTGCCAAATAGACTTTCAGCAAATGGACTTTTGACAAATTG